GGGGGGGGGGGGGGGGGGGGCCCCCCCCCCCCCCCCCCCCGGGAGGAGCCCAGGAGGCAAGGCCTGCGCTCCCTCACCTGCTTTGCCCCTCCTCCTCCTCCTCCCCCCAGATCCAGCCGAGCCCCCCCTCGGAGGGGAAGCCCAGCGCCGCCAAGAAGCCCAAACTGTCCGCGGTGGGCGGCCTCGGGTGCCCGTTCCGTAAGCACGACCCCCAGGCCAACAGCGACGTCTGCCTGGCAGCCTTGCAAGGTGACTTTTGCTGGGGCTGCTTCGGGGTTGGGGGGAGACGGAGGCCCTGAAAGGCCCAGAGCTCGGCCCGGGGTGCCTGGGGACGGGCGGGGCTCCCCCTTCCTGGCAGGGGCCGAGGGCAGCCCAAGCCTCTCTCTCTTGCAGGCCTCAGCCGGGTCGTCCTCCTCTCCGGCAGCCTCATGAAGGAGCCGCTCCACACGGTGAGCCAGGCCGATTCCACGGCCGCTGGAGCCTCGGCTGTCCCAGGATGTGTGGGGTTTGGGAGGGAGGAGAGCCCTCTGCACATGCTCAGAGCCCCCTGGCGCCCACAGGAGGCGCTCTCGGGTCTTCTAAGCTCTCCCCCCTCCCCTCTTCCTGCTGCTCCTGCTGAGGCCTTCGCCCTCTTCTTCCCCCCCCTCCCCAGAGGCTGCAGGAGCTGGCGATCCCGCTGCTGATCCAGCTGGGCCAGGCAGAGATGCCCCTGGGCTCCCCCTACGCCAGAGCCGGCTGCAGGCGCGAACTCTACCGGCTCCTGCTGGCCTTGAGCCTCTCTCCGGCCCCGGCCTGCCCCCCACCTCTGCACTGCGCCCTGCGGCTGCTGAGCCAGGGCCGCACGGATCCCAACCTGCTGGTGAGGCTCCTTCCGGGGGCCCTTGCTTAGCCAGGCTGACTGGGAGAGCAGGGCCCCAGGACCCTCCCCCCCCCCTTGGGGTCCTTCAGGGAGGGGCCCTTTGCTTTGCCCTGGGGGAGGCCTGAATGGGCGGCTCTTCTCTGGGCCTGTCGAGTGGGGTGTTCATTCCGCCTCTTCCTCCCGCAGGTCTCCTCCTTCTGCACAGAGGCCGCCGTCATCTGCAGCGCCCTCCTTCACCCTCGGGTGCCCTCCTTGCAGCTCCCCCTGGCGGCCCCTCCTGCCCACCTGCCCGCCTCCTCGGAGGTCTCCCCTGCCGCGGCGGTTGCAGCTGCCACCCTCTCCCCCTTCTGCCCGGCCGTCCCGGTGCCCTTCCCTGCCCCCCGCCCCCTCCCCCTGGCCCCTGGCCCTCTCCCCCCCAACTCCCTGGGCCTGCCCCTGCCTGGGCT